CAATTAATGTTTCTGCCTTCTGTGCTACAGAAATTATCTCCAAGTTCATCTTGATGAATTTTCCTCTCTACCTCATTACCCAAGCTGGCTACAGCAGAGACTTGTCATGTTTAATGGCGACTATCTTACACACATTCTGATTCTTTTGAATGAACACATGCCTGTTTATAGAGGCCCATGAGCATCTCATTGGCTACTTTTGCATTAAAAACACTTAAAATGCAACAGCCATCTAAGACCCTTGTAAAATGAAATCAAACATTATGGAAGTGTTGTTGTTTTAAATGAAAGCCTTTGAATAGAATTTCTTCTCAATGCACAACTGAGAATTGAATCACACTATATTTATACTAATGAGCTTTGATTTTTAAGTTACTTTTTTAAAAAATCTGAATACATAATAACTGCTAAGCTTCTACCATTTTTAGAATGCATTTAAGTTTTATAGCACATTCACACTTAATTCTTAATTGCTCCTCAGATGGAACTAAGAGATTTTATTAGAGGAGACTAAGATTCCTAAGGTAAATTCCTTATATGTTTCTTTGTGTTTCCTTGCCTATTTTCTGGGTCTTTCAGTAGAATGCAAACTTCATGAAGGCAAGGGGTCCTGTCTATATCACTGGTTCCCCTTGTATAGAGTAAATGGTCAAAAAATATTTGTGTATAAATAACCAATAAATAATTTATTCTAAGTAGCTCTCTTTTCTGAATAAGTAACAGTGTGGATTTTAAAAATCTAAATGAATTTATTGATGAGATGTACAAAAAGCTTTCTTGCCTTTTAAAATACAGCATATTGTTCATAATCTAGCTATTTCTTGGGTGTACAAATTATTGTTGAGTCATTACCAATTACTTTGTTACATATTTTACCACCATGATTTTAGGACTCAAGACAAATCAGGGTCTTTGCCTCTACAATAACTGACTTAGACATTTATTTAATTTTTTGAATCCTTGAGTTTTCTGACTTTAATAATCAGTGGCGGTTGATAGCATTGATTTTATTTTAGTAACATATATTGAGTGCCTATTTGCTAGATGTCATAATTATAAAACAAACAAAAACAAAACAAAACACAAAGACACAATCTCAATGCACAGGGATTGGTGTAATCATTTATCCTTGATGTCAGTGCCCAGGAATTCTTCTCATTTGAATCTGTTTGACTCAGTAATGAATGTTATGTAGTGAGTTTGGGAATTAATAACCAAGTGTGTAGGCAATGTGTGTAATGTATGAGAAAGCAGGTTTAGAAATAAGGTGCCTCCTATTTGTACTGTTAGGAGATTTTGTGTGTGGGTTGGATGCTAATATCTAACCTGGTGTTTATGGAAGACTGTTTAATTGCATCTGATTCTCAACCATGTTTAGGAGACCATGTTCTTTTTCTTTTTATTTTGTTAGTTTTGTTAATCCTAACCCAAGAATATTTTTTCCATTGGTTTTTTTTTTTTTTTTTTTTTTTTTGAGAGCGAGTGGAAGGGAGAAAAAGAGACAGAGAAAGATAAACGTCAATTTGAGAGAGATACATTGATTAGTTGCCTTCCACACTTGCCACTATTGGAGCTGGAGATAGAGCCTGCAACCAACGTACATGCCCTTGACCAGAATCAAACCCAAGATACCCATTGAGCCAAACCAGCTAGAAAGAAACCATGTTCTTTTTAGAAGAGGTAGTTCTCTAGACCCATATGGTAAAAATTAAACTGAGACCCGAAAGAATAAATATCTTGTCTAACTTTGCATTGCTAATTAGAAGCAGGGCCACAACCAAACTTTACCTTTCTTGATTGCTAATTCTATATATTCCCTACCAGATCACAGGATCACAGAATTTGTAACAAAATGATAAGGCACAGGAGTAAGCCTTGTGTGCATATCTGTGTAACACTCCCAGCAGCTTTCCAAAATAGGGGGTAAGAGCCACCCCTTTTATTCCTTATTAAGCAACTGTCTTATGTTAATCTGTTAATATCAAATTATATAAGAACAAAGAGTTGAGGCAAAGTTTTGCAATGTGTGTTTAAGGGTCAAGGACTAAGGATAAACTAACAGACATAGTAGCCAATTCAAAAGACAGTCAGGTGTAATCTCTTGCTATTCTCAAATCTTCAGCTTTTACAGTTGCCCTAGGTATTTGTTTAGGTGGAGCAAAAGCCCCCAGTTTGGAGATAATGCAATGCCAATGTGGCTTCACTTCATGTGACCTTGTGCTCAGCACAGGCCTTTCTTGGGCTTCTTGTTCATATTTGTTTCTGGAGTGGGTCTCTCGTGGCTCAGTCTCCTATTGTCCTGCTTTCTGACTTTTCATGGTAAGTGTTGGCATTTGTGTTGATGGATGTTGTGCTGGCTCTTCAGGCAAGTGCACTGTTGCTGGACACAGTAGCCAGAGGATCTGCCCAACATACAAATCAAATCATGTCACTGGACTACTTAAAACCTGCCACTGTCTTCCTATGGGAATCCAAATAAAATGCTAAACTGAAATTTGCTGAGTAAAACTTACATGTTCTCCACAATAAATACTGTGTGTGTGTGTGTGTGTGTGTGTGTGTATAGATATAAGGTGATAGATGTGTTAATTAGTTAGGTGGAAGGAGTTCTTTCACACTGTAAGCCATATATCAGATCATCATGATGAATACTTTAAATATCTTACAATTTTATGTGTCAATTAAAACTAAAGAAAGCTGGAAAAAAAAAAAAAGGAATGAAACCTTAAATTTAATCAGGGTGCAAGGACTGGGATGATTTGACACTTGCTCATTTCCCTCCCTCTCTCCTCCCCCACCATGCTCTGGCCACACAGGCCTTCCTTTCTGCCTCTTTATTACCGGGAGCTCTGCACTTGTTAGCTCCTCTGCCTGAGCTCCTTTCTTCTACATCTTCACGTGGCTGTCTCATTCTCATCACTTATATCTTCACTCGATGTTCCTTATCAGAGACGTTTTCTTTGGCTATTTTCCTTAATATCACCCACCCACCCTACCCAGCCCCACCCTTCTACTTCTTACTTGGGTATTTTCTTCATAGGGTTTATCACAATTTGAAATTATTTTTTAAATTTACATTTTATTGTCTTTCTTCCCCAAAGGAATGTGAGCTCTACAGGGGCAAGGACTTTTTAAATTCTTATTTTCTGCCGTTTTCCCAAAGCCTAGAACAGTGCCTCGCTCATAGTAAGGGTTCAAAATTTGGCTGTTGAATAAATGAACAGAACACAATTTAAATCACTTTTTTGAACTTCAGTAACTCTCGTCACTGCAAGACCTTTGTCCTGCTCTTGAGATCATTCACAAGTCAAGCCCTTCTGATTGTGTGAACTTATAGTCCATTGTTCTGGCTCACACTCATACTAGTAGGATCATTATAAAAAAAACAACAACACATACTAATAAATGTATTTATAGGTCACAGGTAATCACAGTAAAAACAATCACCATCAACACTGACTGAGTACGTGCTGAATGCTGGACTCTACACCTGTCTCACATTTATTTCTAACCGCCACCTCAGTTCTGCTAAGTGATAGAATCCATGTCTTGTGGCCACATATTCATTAAATCTCCAACGTAGGTGCAGGCTCCCATGTTCCTCTCAGCATGCTCATCAATGCTTATTAATAACTTATCAAAACTCCTATTCTGAGCAGCTATTCTGTCAGGGACTGAGGACAAAAGAGGCTCTCATTGGAGGGCTGGGAAGTGAGAGTGGCCTCAGTGCTCTGACCACGTGGAACTAGACACTGTCTGCATGCTCTGCTCCAACCAGAAAAGGAACTGAGCAATGGGCTTGGCAGCGGTGGAAATGACCCCCATTGCAGCCCTAACTAATTTCCTGTTTCGGGAGCTTGCTAGGAATTCTACAGTGCACAATTCTACCCCCTTTCTTGTTTCAACAGAGGTCCATCTGCAATAGGAATTTCCATGGTCCCCCCCTCCTCCACTCCACTCTACCCTGTGACAGCCAATACCCAGACCTGGCCCTTTTAGAGTTCAGAGGTAGGGACCAGGGGGAGGGGCAGCCATGTCTTGTCCTTGGCAGATGCCTATCATTGATGTGGGGGAGGGCTTTGTGGGAAGAAGATGGGAGCCTGGGTGTGCCCAGCTGGAAGCCGCCAGTAATTTAACACTCGCAGATGGAGACGGAGGGCGATATGATACCCCCAGCTGTCTGCTACTGCTGCCTTCAAGGCCCCCTCGGCTGCCTGGGACTCGGGACCCTTTGGGAAGGGCCTGGTGCGGCTGGGGGCAGTCTAATAAAGCAGCTGGTCTATTAGAAGATAAGCTTTGTGGAGAATCACACAATCATTCCGAATCCCCCTAATCCCAAACTTTATTGCCCTAGATAATAAGCTTTGGTGGCAACGCTTCATTGAAATATGGAATTGTCTGCAGACTGGAGGCACCTGCTGTGTCACTCAGCCTTGGGCCGGCAACTGCCACCACGCACAATTCAGGGGCAGGTGCACCTCGCCTGCCTCAGCTTCGGCGGGACAGAGGACAGCCAAGTGGGCCGGCTACGCTCCCACGAAGGGCTCCAAATACTCTGTGCCCAGGAGGCCTGACCAGGGCCTGAGAATGCTCTCTCTGTGACTCATGTATTGAGCTGTTTTGAGACATTGAGAGAAAAGGAGCAACAGGGAGCATTTGCCTGTTGGGGACCCCAGGGCTTAGAAACCAGTTCTGTCTGCAGGCAGACCTCCATGGTCAGGGACTGATGGGTGTCACCCTTTCTCCAACTCCTTCTTGCAGCTGTTGCAGGGCCACCTTGGCTCAGGGTGTTTGCTCTTCCTGCCAGACCCTCCCTGCCCTCTATCTGCATGTCCACCTGGGGAGATCCCTTATCCCTTCCTCTGTGAGGCCTCTGTACCCCCATGCAGATTCTCTTATGTGCCTTTCCAGTTCTTGATTCATGTCAGGATTGTCACCCACATAACACTAATTAATCAAATCATCAATTAAATGCTTCTATTCCTGTCTCCTCCACTAGACTAGGAAGTCTTTGAGAGCAAGGACCATATCTGATTCATCTTTTTATCCACAGTACCTTGAAGATTAAAAAAAAAAAAAAGACCAGGAGCAACCTAAATGCATACAAAGTGGATATTCCATGTGGCCATTGAAAATAATGAGGCAAATCTACAGTCACAGGGAGTGAGGTCCAAAGTATATTGTTAAGGGAAAATAATGCAAAATGCCAAATACTTTAAGAACATTATCTTATGTTAAAACAAATAATGACAATATGATTGTAATAGTTGCCTCTGGGCAGGACATTAGGAAAGGGTTTATGATGGGTGGAAGGGAGACTTCTTTTACACTTTCAACCTGTTTGTGAGATGGAAACTTCTAGCATGTGTGAATATTACTTTTTAAAGAGGTGGGAACAAATCACTTCATGTATAGAAAGGTATTTGTTGAATGGAGACACAAATACAGCTTATGGTCAGGTTGCTTGGTCTTACTCCTCTTATGCATTGTCCAAACATGTTCCAGAACAATAGGATGTGTCCATCCAAAGGCATTTGTAATGGATAAAGGAAATGTATGATATGAGGTCTTTCAATGCAGATGAACATTTGGAGCTGGAACAGGAATTTGTCAGTTGCCAGCAATCATCTAAGAAGCTATGGGTGAGAAGCTTGAACAGTGCAATGCAAGAGCTGCCCGGGATGCTTTGAAGAGGTCCTGGTGCTCCCTGCTCCTGAATGAACGACTATGGGAGGGAAGAAAACAAAGGGGCATTTAATGAACCTCAATCTGAGGAATACTAAATCTGGAAGGAAACATCTACAAAGAAAACTGTCAGCTTTTTCTAATTGTTCTGGCTAGGATAAAAAATATTTAAGTTCCCCTTATTAATATATTCTTTCTCACTTCTCCTTCTCTCAACTACAGTCATAGATGCCCTTTCTAGAAGGTCTGCCCTCCCTCTGATAAACATGACCAGAATTATTGGGCTCCCTCTCGAATGGTGTATTGATTACTTCCCCATTCCCATAAACAACCTCTTGGCACCTCTCCCGGGGACTGGCTGCACTAGGTTAAATTAAGAGCAACCTTGGCTTTTAACAGGACCTCTCCAAAGCTGTTGCCTTCCAAGAGTAATCCGTGACTTTAATTTATGATCATAACAACCTCTAGCAAGGCTGACCCCATCCTCTCACTTGGCCTTTAGTTATAGAGACTGGGATGGAGATCTCTGGTGAAGGTCGGGTACATTCCCCAATCCAAGAGATAAAATATAAGTGAATTTTAGAATTTCTAATTTTTCACTCGAGTTCAAATAAGAAATTCAACAATATTTTTTGAGTGCTGGCATGCAGTGAGACTGTCCCTCACCAAATGTGTGGTCATCCGTAGTACCAAATTGAGAGTCCATTCAGGCAGAAGTGGCGAATCCTTATCTTCGCAAATGACATCCTGGGAATTGCCTATCTTCTATGGGTTAATGCGGCAATGAGTTCTTTGTGGTCCCCTGCTGAACTGTCCTGTGAATGTTTGCTTCTACATGTTTTCATAAAAGATGTGGCATGTAGCGGTGGTCATGATTCTCATGGTCCAAAACATACCAGTTATCTTATTTCTGGTTTTTGAGTGTCTAATTTCCCAATTGAGTACAAGGAAAAAATTCAACAATATTTTTTTGAGTGCTGGCACATAGAAGATGGTGATTGACTGGACTCTCAACAGTTTTTGTGTGTGCTTGATTTGGGGTCTTTGCCAGGAGCCACAAAATTAGCTTCCCCTCTCTTGAAACATCAAATACGTTTTTGTCCTATTGACTGTTCTCACTGTTCTGTCTCTTTAAGGAAAAGATCCTGAATAGGCTGCTCACCTCATTAATGCTAAAGGCTTTGAGTTTTTCAGTTCTAGTGAACTCTGCGTGACCCTCACAGACAGTAATTGCTTTAACATAGGGTTAGGCAACAGCAACCAACTTGTCTAAATATAAGCCAGGGCTTAAAATACAACTTAACCTGGGAGATTTAAGTAGGTAAAGAAGATGACTTCTCCCCGGAATTGCTTCTTGATTAATCACCCCGTCTGAGGCTGTTGGAAAAATGACAGTTTTCAAACAGGGCTTTCAATGTCTCCCGCTCTACTTTTCTCCACTGGCAGGAAGCCAGTCCCTGTAAGCCAGTGGTTCTTAAAGGGGACAGATTCCCTTGGATTTTCCGAGTTACACAGCTCAGGAAGAGAATGGGGATAGTGATGGGAGGGAGTGTTCATGCTCCTCACGTAGTTTGCTCATCTTCAAGATAAACTCAAGGAGCAGTCTTGTGTTTAAAGAAGCCATACCTGGTGAAGAAGTGAACATTTTCAGCTGAGCTCAAGGCTTAAGGAAAATAGGCTGCACTATGCCTACCAGCTTATTGCCAGTCACATTATCCAAAATATTTTGCCATCTACACTTGGATCCAAGCATTTTATCGACATGGCTCTGGTCTGCCTTCTGTCCTTAGGATTTTTCCCAGCCTCCACGTCTCTGACATTCATGCCTTGAGTCTGAGAATCTTTAATTTGCAGCTAATTTGGAGATCATCTTCCATCTATAGTTGTTCCTCTTTCTCAAATCTGGGTTGAGTCTTACCTCCCCTCCCTATCTGCTGGGCACTAATGGCACCATTCAAAGGAGGCGCCATCCCGCCCCTCCGTGTCCTTGCCAATGGACAAGCTGATTTCTGCTCTTAACATTGTCTCTGTGGTCTTTAGGTGATTTTGATTTATCATCTAGGACTAAAGTATGCCTCCAACTGATGGGACTTTTAGACCAGAGTTCCATCTTGGCCTTGAGTAAGAGATTTTCTTAGCCAATAAGGATTTCTTCTTGACCTTAAACCAGTAAGCTCTGTTCAAGGATAGGTTGGCTGAGGGGTTCTCAGACTGTGTTTCTCATCCACGTCCTAGGGTTCTACAAAAGATTCTCTGGGGATCCCTCACTTGGTTTCAACAAGAGCAGCTCTTCTCTGACCAAGCTGATTTACTATAGTGGAGTTCCATCTAAAATTGCCCTTTTTGCCCACAATGTTCATCCCAAGATATTTGCATGGCTCCCTCCTACTCATCCTGTGTCAAATAGTTCAACTGTTTGCCACAACCACCCAAATAAAACACAAACACAGCCTCCAATTTCCCATTTCTCTTACCATAGTATTTTTGCCACCTTCCATACTGTATAGTCATTATTTATTATGACTCAAGTTTCCATGAATTTTTGTTGTTTAGTACTTCATTCCCTGCACCTAAAACAATGTATTCACATAGGAAGTACTCAGTAAACGTTTGTGCAATAAATGAAACATTATACTTAAAGAGAGTGTCCTAGAATCCTAGGGTATTATGACTTGTTTACCATAAATCACAATACTTTTTAAAAAAATATTTTATTAATTTTCCATAGAAAAAGGGAGAGGGATAGAAAGCTAGAAATGTCAATGAGAAAGAAACATCGAACAGCTGCCTCCTGCACACCCTCTACTGGGGATATGCCCGCAACCAATGTACATGCCCCTGACCTGAAATCGAACCTGGGACCTTTCAGTCTGCAGACCGACGCTCTATCCACTGAGCCAAACCAGTTTCAGCCAGAATAACTTCTTGATGAATTCATTTTTCTATTTAAAAATTAACATACTAGTACAATTTGACTTTTTTTTGGCATGTGGTTTTATGAGTTTTAACACATGCATAGATTTGTGTAACCATCACCACTACAGTCAAGGTACAATACAGTTCCATCCTCCTCCTAAAACTCCCCCAAATATATGATCCCTTTGGAGTCAAATATTCAACTCTGAATCCTTGGCAACTATGGATCAGTATAGTTTTGTCTTTTTGAAGGTATTATATAAATGGATTCATACAGAATGAAACTGTTTGAGACTAACATTCTGTTTGAGACTAACATTCTTGTCTTTAAGATTCATCTATGTTATTGTATTAATGGTTTGTTCCTTTGTATTGCCAAGTAGTATCCCACTGTTTGGATGCCATGTTGTATTTTTAATGCCAAGTAGTATTCCAGTGTATGGATATACCACCCTTTGTTTATCCATTTACCTGTTGATGAACACTTGAATTGTTTCCAGATTTTGGGGAGTATGAGAAGCTACGCTGTATACAATAAGTTATCATTGTATAGGGTAAATACCCAGGTGTGGGATTGCTAGACTATATAGTAAATGTACCCTTCATTTTATAAAAAGTTTATTAAACTATTTTCCAGGTGGCTGTACCATTTTGTCTTCCTATCAGTAATGCACATATCCTCAACACTTGGTATTATCAGATTTTCAATTTTTAGCCATTCTCATAGGCATGTATTGGTATCTCACTGTGGTTTTAATTTATTAATAGTATCTTATTTCCCTAATGGCCAATTATGTTGAACACCTTTTCTTGTGCTTATTTGCTACCCATATATCCTCTTTGGTAAAAGTATCTATTCAAATCCTTTACCCACTTTTAATTATACTGAATTTTAAGAGTTTTTAATATATTTTAGCTATATGATATAATGTGATTTACAAATATTTTTTTCCAACCGGTAGTTTGCTTTTACATTGTCAAAGGAATGTGTTTGAGAGAGCAAACATTTTTAATTTCAATAAAATCCAGCTTACCAATTTTTTTATGAGTTGTATGTTTAGTATCATATCTAAGAACTCTTTGCCTAATTCCAGGTTATAAATTTCTTTTCTTCTAAAAGTTTTCTATATGTATATTTCATAATTAAATTAATGATCCATTGGAGTTAATTTTTATATGAGATATGAGGTTTCTGTTTAAGTTTACTTATTTTTGCATATGATGTCCAATTGGTCTAATACCATTTGTTGAAAAGACATGCTTCTTTTGATCAAATTGCCATTGCACCTTAAAATAAAATAAATTGCTCATACTTGTGTGGGTCTGTTTTGGATTTCCTCTCTTATTCAATTGAAGTATGTTTCTTTTAAAAATATATACATATATATTTTATTGATTTTTTTACAGAGAGGAAGGGAGAGGGATAGAGAGTTAGAAACATCAATGAGAGAGAAA